TTCAGTGAACTCATCCGCACAGCTGGGAAAAATATACACACTATATTTTAACTCCAAGACACCAGAATAATTGAACCTCTGTAGAGACGCATGTGAGCAAATGAGTTGCATTCATTGCAACTACAAAGTCTTTTAAGACAGTCAAGAAATACAATAAGGCTATATGCAAACAGCTGACTAGAACCTGTCCCCCTACTTCCCACAGCTTTGATTTAAATTTTACTGGTGATTCCCAATGTGGAATATTATGTGGATTTCTTTTGGAGGGATCACTGAACAGGCAGGACATTTAACACTATGTAATTTTAATTTAGCACAGCAGACTTTCACAGACATTGGTGATATAAACAGTACAGGTAACTAAATGTGAATCTCACCAGTGGGTACTCTGAGGTCAATGCTGTTGCAGTAGTCGGTGTAGCAGCACTGCGTGTATAGGTAGCCTTCTACACCGAGGCAGTAGATCGGTTTTCCAGGGGGCACGAGATCTTCCTGTGGGATACAGCCGCGGCTGTGCTGCTGTTTTCCATTGCTGAAGATGGTGGAAGCCGTGCAGGCCCCATCGGTCTCACACTGGAAGTCAGACTTCTTACACAGAGGAGTGGTGCAGTTACACCACAGAGCTGAAGAGACATAGCAAAACATTTGCAAGACCATTAGCTTGCATGAAGTCAAGCGAACTGTGACCCGCTGGCACAAAACTGTTTAAGTACTGAAGAGTTAGAGAGAATTTTACAGCTCCTATAATACACAGCAGGGGGCAGCAACAGCCTGAAGACTTACCGCTGTGTCCCAAAACCTCACACAAATATGTGAGGATTGTAGGCTGGTTTTAGCATGTCAGGAGACATTAAAACACCTCAAAGGAGGTACTGTGCCCTGTAAATAAGCACACTCTTCTCCTACAATACATTGCGTGATGGAAATGTGCTTTGAGAGGGTGGTGAGGCAGCTTCAGGAAAATCTCAGAAACATACATACTACTTTAAATCATTCAAAAAAGGTCCGTTTTTCACCTTTTTAAAGCTGCAGTTTGATTGAAAGCACATGTTACTGTGTGGTTATATTTCCTGTGAGCTTAAAGTGATGAAGATTTTGATGATTTGGTACATGTAGTACACCTGTGAAGAACTGGTATTGGTATTGGTAATTTGGCATACAGCTTTACTATCTACTACAACTTATAAAGCCATAAATAAAGCCTAAATATTTTTAAATGATCAGCTTTGCTGTTTAAGATGCAGCTATTTCCCTTTTTGGCTTCTTACTGGTTTGTGGGGGGATCTGTTTAAGGCTACTTCCTGCCAAGGATGGTGAACCAAAATATACCGCATAACTAAATATCTCAATGCAAAGTGCTAAAAATATGAAGTAGAGGAAGTGTTAAAAGTGCAGTCATTGCATTAGGTGCAGGAGAGTGTTTTTTCTTCTTTTTTTTAATAACTTGCTTAATATAATTAGGCAACCAAGAGACTGGGTTCCTCTGAAATGGAGTAATGCTATTTAGGCAAGAATGGGATGTGGCATTCCAGTAATTCTCAAAGAGCTGCCAGGGATTTCTCAGTGGGAAAATGACCTTTCAACAGCCTGTGTGCCGGATGGGATTGATAAAAACAACAACAACAAGAAAGCCACACATCCAGGAGATAAAGGGGGAAATATAATGGGCTACAATGTATTTTGTAGTGCTGACTCACACGATGCCCACACATACTGGACGCAAGAAATAGAAGAACCACAGAAGAAAAAAGGAAGATAAACGCTGACTAAACATGAAACAAGACTGACATTTCAGATTTTCCAAAGCTAGAAATGTCACAATTTTAATATACATTGTTGTGTTTGAAACCACAAAGATGTCAAGCGGCACAAAGCTACCGTGTCTGACAAAAAAAATGAAATAAAATAGAAATGCAAAAGCAAAGATGGCTACCTATAAAACTTTTCAAGTGGGTAAAGTAATTTACAATGGAAGCATGCTACTTTGCTTTTTTCAGTGACACAAGCCTTCATATCAGCACAGGAATTTGGCAGGCTGAGCCACCGACTTTGTTCACTTTAATTTTCCTGTTTTCAACCACACTGAAAGCTTTCAACAAGTTAAAGAAAAAACAAGAAAAAAATGTCCGCCAAGTTTTTGGAACTATTTTCTAATGTAATAACATCAATAACTAATAAGCATTCGTTTGCTGTCTAGAGCATTTCAATATACTAAAAACTAATAAATTAAAAATAAACTTTTGCAGAAACACAATATGTGAGGGAAAATATATTATGAACATCAGACTTCATCGTGAAGCAGCATTTTCAGATGAATGCACAAAGCAGACATGCCCCATGTGACCATCTCATCTAAGGACAATTAAATGCCAGTTGGGCTATATCATATTATGATACACATCATCAATAGCGCCATATAAAGTAATTGCAAAATCGCTCCCATGATCATGATTTAATCCCTACTGTCCAGCATTACTCCAATAGGCTATAATGCACACATTACTACCTTGTAGCTAGAAGATTAGCAGAGTTTCATCAACGCATCACTTCTACCCACGAGTAATTTCATTAAATCGATTCTGCATCAACACTTTAAGCCATTTTTTCAAAGGTGCCTGATACCTGGATGCTTTTAAAGGACGCATACAGGAACTGGTGTTTAAGGTAGCTCTCAGTATAAACAGACTGCTACCTGAGCTCCTATTTTACCTGCTGTATCAGACTCACCTAACAAACCTCGACGTGGACGAGATAACATAGATAGACAGATAACATAACATGATTTATAAACATGCAGTGAAAGGCTCCCCGTATCGACAGCAGGAGGTTTGACCTGTTTTTTTCTGGTTAATGATGGTTAGTTTAGCGCTAGCTAGCAGCTAACTTCGCGGAGCGTCGGCTCCACAGCGGTAGCGACAGTCCTCAGACAAAACAAACAGTAAGTTACTCACCCTGGCAGGCTGTGTATAGGACAGTGTGAACAACCAGGACAGCGAGTGACATCCGTAGGTCAGCCATAATCAATGCATTCCAGGTTCATCGCATTAACACGTTGTTAACCAAGGATCTGGTGAGCCGTCATGTAGACAGTGAGACAGCGCAAGTTGTGTAGAGGCTCCACCAGCAGCAGGCAGTGACACACGCAGACAGCGAGGAGGTAACATCTATCTATCTATAGATTAACTATAGATAGATGTTTAATGGAGACACGCAGACTGCGCAGTTACATCCTGTGCCTTCAATACTCTGGTACAATATTTATAAATTGCTATATTTACAAATTGGTTGATATAAAATTACTAACCACTGTGCTTTTAAGACCCAACAAATCTACTAATAAATCTTCACTGTCCTTTATTTATTCATTTATTTTTATAATTTCAAACAGCTGAAATCCATCTACAGTCATGTGAAAAAGGAAGTTTTCATTGGACTCTATGAAGTCCTGCATAAAGAGCCACCTTTAGCAGCAATGATTTGACCCAGTCTTTTGCAGTCTTTTGCATTAGGACTTTATCAGTCTTTCACATCTTAACAGCCCACTCTTCTTTCAAGCAATGCCTCATTTTATTGAGGTTTGCAGGCATTCATCTATGGTTCCACCACAATATTTATGTCAGGTTAAGGTCCAAACTTTGACTGAGCCATTGCAACACGTTGATTCTTTTTCAGACATGCGTTTGCAGATTTGCTGCTGAGTTTGAGATTGTTGTACTGATGCATGACCCAGTTTCAGCCAAGATTTCGCAGATGGCCTCACCACCGTGCTAGACAGTTGGTATGAGGTGTTTGTGCAGATATGCTCTGTTTGGTTTTCGCCAAATGTGCCGCCACCAGACATCTCCTCTTTGGATCTATGTTCCAAAAGTCTTGTGGTCTGTTCAAATGCAACTTTTGCAAAGATAAGCAAACAAGCCTCACTTTTCTAATTGTTCTCTAATTAATTTTAACATTTAACATTCTAGCTGAGGCCTGTAGAGTCTCAGATGTAGCTCTTGGAGGTTTTTTTTGCAGCTTATTTTGAGGATTGCACGCTCTGACCTAGGGCTGAATCTCCTGGGACATCCTCTCCTGGGAAGACTGTGGCATTGTGTTTACAGACACCTGAATGCTCCAGATCAGCAAACTGCCAAAACTTCCGCATCTGTATAGAACCTCACACCTGCTGATGATCAGTTAATCAAGTGCATTTGATTGGCTACCCTTCAGTAAGGGTGTACATGATTTTGTACATAACTGTACGGAGTCATGTGCAAACTTCCTTTTTCATGACTGTGTGCACGGTATTCAAAGATTACATGAACTTTATTGGCAATATCACAAAGTGGCAATAAACCTAGAGGATTAAACAGATCCTGAGTTTTGATGCTTGTTGTCTAAACACTATACAGTATTTACAGTTCATGTTTTCATCCATAAACTCTTCTTATGTATAAATATTATACATACTACTTAATAATACAAATTAGCTGTAGCATATATGCTTCTAGGTTTACATCTCATGTTATAAATGGAGGCAGGTCTACTCGTACTGTGGCTGTGATTTGTTTGAATAATGAGGTAGACATCATGGATGCTTTAGCACCGGTAAGAATGAGCCAGTAAATATGGATTTTGTGCACTGTGCCATATTCTTTTTTTTTTTAAGAAGTTCTTTAAAGTCTTTTAATCCCTAATAGAATAATAGACTTATTTTTCACATTAACTCCAAATATAGGTACTGCTTTTAGCGTAGATGCTTCAAACCTTCCCTGAAGAGTCTTTACAGTTCTCTTCCTCTGTCACTCCCTTTCAGATTTAAGTTTAGTATTCACTTGAATGCTCTTTGGTTTGAACATTTTAAGCCCTGAGTTGAAAAGACACTCACTTTTCTCACAAAGGATATTTTGTACAGCCCTTTCTTTTTTAAAACCTTATTTTTTGGCCTTCTTGCTGTCCTTTTCTTTCTTCTTTTTCTCCTTTTCTTCCTTTTCTTTTTCAGCCTTCTTCTTGTCCTTTTTTTTCTCATCCTTGATCTCCTTGTACTTCCACTTGGGTGGTTCCAGATAGCCCTTTTCCCTCTTCTTCTTCTTTTCTTTCTTTGGCGTTGCTTCTGTTGGCCTGTCTACATTGATCTTTGGGATGCAGCCAGAGGGGAACACGCTGTTCCGCCTCCCCATACTCCGGGAAATAAAAGTTGTGGCAGCTTTGGTGGAGAGCATACTGCCTCGCCGCTCGGTGTCGGCACAGCATGTCGTAGCAATTGACTCTGCAGAGTGGATTGTGGGGATAATGTGCGACACTGAGCCATTACTGTGGCACACTGAGCTTTCCTCAAGGTCCTTTTTTGTATGTTTGCTGACCAGCTCTTGTACGGCCAGACGCTTCTTGCCAATCTCTGGAGGGCTCGTGGGGCAGAGTGGGTGACATCCAGTTGAAATCAGAGGACTGTAGACACTGGTGGTCATGCGCACCATGTGGTCCAACACCCCGTTGTCCTCGGGGTCACGAGGTAATCTGAATCCAAAGGTGTCTTTGATCTGCTGGGCAATTTTTTCCCTGGGAGTTTTCTGAGATACGGCCTTGGCTACTCTCTCCTTGAGCTCAGGCCACTCAGGGACATAACCCTCACAGAACTGCTCAGCTCTTGGACGCATATTGAGGCGACGGAGACGGTGCAAGGTCTCGTAGCGACCTGTCTTAAAGGCCCAGTCCCGAGCACATCTTCCTCTGGTGGAATCTACTGCATGTATGTCAGCCCCTGAAAAGAAATACCACGAGGAAAAACAAACACAAGAACTGATTAATAATAACTCATTAATAATAAGTTCATATTAATAACTTGTTAAAGTGCTGTTTTGGGCTGCCCTACAAAAAAATGTTAAACATCAAAGTGTCTGACTTGATAATGTATTAATACTTTTTAGTAAATCTTATTGCATACAGCCTACACACGTCAGACTTGATGCCAAACCTGAGTTCTCGAGGTTCATGAGGCGCATGGTGGCTTGCAATAAACGTGTTGCTGTCTCACAGTTTGTAGATAACTAAGTAACAGCACAGCCCTGAGCCGTTTTGCACAGTTAAAATTATCTACATCTGTGGTTGTCATACTGTGAAATGTGAAAATGACTTGTGTGCCAATGCCTGTTTACTAATGTTTTATTTGTCTTACTAACTTAAATTTTCTGATACAGTAATATGCTGTCTAAATGCGGTAGAATAAAGCAGGCAGGGGTTTGTAAAGTTCAGCTGACTTTCCCACAGTCTCCTTCAGAAATCCATCTTTATGGATTTCATTATGAGGGCAGTTTATTGTATGATATTAATGTTGGACTAAGTGTTACTCCTGGCAGAGATTTGAGGAAACGTGCAGTCCAAAAATAAGGAAACGACTAATCTGCGACCAGCCTGCAAGTCTAGTAAGGTAAAGATTACAGAGTCAGTATCTGTTAAGATGTGATAATGTCCTCAGAGTGATCCTTTAAACCAGTCTCACGTCACCGACACGTTGACATATGCGCAGAGTTAGCCGGATTCAAATACGGTCAGATAAACCATGTGGTCAGCCGTTCTCACTAGCAGTGCTCTTAGTCTTTATTTAGAGCAGTGAAAGACAGAGTTAAAGAGCTGATGTTAGAGTTTCAGAAACGATCCAGTGATATCAGTTGGGGCTAGCTTTTGTATGTTCAACACTGTAAAAAGTTATTTTAATGGAACGTCAGTATAGTTTGAATTGTAGCAAAAAGAGCCAGCTGAGTAGCTCATATGTGTAAGTGACTAATCTGTTGTTTTTTTATATATATATATATTTCTATAAGAGTCTAATCTCAATTAATGATGGATATTTATTCATATTTGCTATTTCCCAAAGCATTAAGAAACAGAGAATATACCATACCTTTGTTTTTATACCGGTAGCTGAAATGTATAGGTAATGATCCAGTGAAATAAAGTGTGTTTTTGTACTCTTACATACCAGCCATAACAAGGGCTGCCACAACGTCAGTGCGGCCAGTCATTGCAGCTTTGATGAGAGCTGTGAAACCTCTACAATCCCTTATTTCTGTGTCTATTCCAGGATAATAGTTCAGGAGATACGTCACTGTCATGATGTGACCTGTAAAAACACAGAATTCATACAACAGTGCGTCAGAAAACACGAGTTGAGTGCATATTTGCAACTGGTTAAATCTCCGATTAAATCAAGCTCAAGCTATTTGCAATCCCAATCCCAAAGAAGTTCTCAGGAATCTGTGTAAAATATAAAAACAAAATGGAATAATTACAAACCTAATAAACCCAGATTTTGTTCACAATAGAACACATAAACCATATCAAAGGTTCAAACAAAAACATACATACAAAAATATTAGCTCACTTTGAGATTACTGGCACCAATAACTCTCAGTTGGGGCAGTTTGCCACTGTCTAGCATCCCCGCTTCTTTTAACAACAGTCCATAAACATCTGGAAACGGGGGAGACCACCTGCTGGACTTTTGGGAGAAGACTGTTTTCCTCTTCTTGTCTGATACAGGATTCTAGCTGCTCAACAGTCCTGGGTCTCCTTTGACATATTTTTAATTTCATGTTGTTCCAGATGTTTTCAGCTGATGAACGATTTAGAAGTTGGATGGTCAGTTGGAAGGACACAGCTGTTGTCCATGTTTTCCAAAAAGAATGTCAATTTTTTTGATACGTCTGACCAAAGTACCATTTTCTACTTTGTCTCAGTTCATTTTGAATGAGCTTTAGTCCATTTACATGGCTTCTTTTTTGCTTGATAAAGCTTTAACCAGCATTTAAGGAATGCATTTAGTTATCTCTTTCCTGAACTGTTTGTCCATGCAGTCAGAGTGAGTGGGGAACCCATCCCCATCTTTACTGAAACAGATTTTATAGCAAACATGTCACTTGCATCAAATTAACTTTTTCGTGAGCACCCCAGTTGTAATAAGTTGGTAAAACATACCTGCTTGGGATGCAATCATCAGTGCTGTGTTGCCTTCATTGTCCTGGTGATTTATGTCAATATATGGACAGGTATGAAGTCCATGTACGATCTCTAGGAAACCTTTACAGCACGCCACCATTAAACCATTCTGTTGGTTTGAAGTTAACAGTTAAGATCAGCGATGTTGCAATATGTTGCTCACTGCTAGTCATAGAGATCATGAGTTCATTATGGATGAGACTCTCACCCAGCCATTGATGTCCAGCTCCATCGCCTCTTCTTTTGTGACCCCCCTCTCAAGCACTGTCTGCAGAGAGACCGGTTCATTACGGGCGCACGCTTGATACAGTGTTGATGCTGCACTCCCATTTCTTCTCTCTGGCGTGTAGTCTGGAAGCACCGAGTCATCCGAAAGAATGCTATCTGAGTCTGGCTCTCTCCCGGATGGAGACACTTCGCTATCGTCAGGGCCTGATCCCAGGTGGTGGTCCTCCGCTGCAGTGGCCATCTTCCAGCAGAACAGGTGAAATGGGCCCAAATGCCTTTGTCTACATCTAAAACAATATCAAAAAAAGAAACTGGTCAGGCAGAAACCTCCTGTCAGATGTATGTTTTTTTTGGCTTCCTGGAAAGCAAGCTATTGTTTTACAATCTGTCCACTTATTCTAAGCATAAAGCTGTTGTTTCATCACAACATGCTATATATCAGGCTTCAGGAAGATCAAAGCTTCACTTGGTGACAGATGAAGTGTGACATGAGTCCGAGCTCAGCGCTGCCTCACTGTTAACTGGATAAGAATCTAAATGCCCTGCTGAACACACAACACGGCTAAATGAGGAACAACCCACCTCAGAGTAATCTTGGTCACATGTGAACCTGCTTGCTTCAATCTGAAGCCAACATAGGTATTGAAAGTAATCACTTCTGCTTTTTGACTTGTATAATTTTTACTCCGCACAGCAAAAAGTTAAGTTTACATATTTTTACGCTGAAATCAAAACTGCAAATATATGATTTAAAGATCTATCTATAAAGAACATCACTGACAGGTGTTTCGATGGTACAGCCATGACCTGTTATGGCTGAACTGTACATTTTTTTATTTGCTCAGTATAGACTTCTCAAGTATTTTATATCAGTACATAACTGTGAAGCCACAGTTCATAAAACAGAAGTAAAGAAATAAAAATTCAGAGGCATTGACTGTCATTCATCATTATGTAATAAATAATAATACCATTACTGTCAAACTATGAGACACTCATAGACATGAACAGGAAATACATACACTTACCATAAGTAGCATGAACCTGTCAGCATTTGTCTGTGACTCGTGCTAAATGACTTCTGATTTCAGCCCTCCTGCTGTGTTTGCAGAGGAGCCGTTTCCTCCCAGGCCTGTGAACAGAGATACTTTACCCATTTCCATCCCACATGTTGTCATCATGACATAAAACTAAGAGGAGGAGTCTTCGTTGAGTCTTCACTGAGGCACTGTGTGCTCATCTCCTATGCTTAGCTCATCCCACTTGTAACAGCTTTATAGAGGGGATTACCTGTTGCTCTCTTCATCTTTTAATAGCAGTTAAAAGCTAAATATGTCTTAGCTGGATGAACTAAGTTTTCTCCTTCTACAAATTATTCAAGTTCCACTGCTAGCATTGATGCAAACCTCAAAAAGCACCTCAGCTGCACATCTGGATTTTTACTTTTCATAAATAATACCCTTGTTTAATAAAATAGCTTTTACGACTTTTACTGCCGATTTATGAATATGCAGATTGACGCTCCGACTCCTCTGTTGCAGTGGACTGCTCTTAAACAGTTTAAAAAGGCCTTATGCTAAGCTACAAAGTAGCAGGTTTAGACTAATATTCAGCCATACCATTCTGAATTTTGAGGACTATTTATCTATGCAGTTGTTATTATTATTATTGAAGTATTTATTTAAACACAAAGTCTCACTGAGATTGAAATCTCTTTTTCACAAGAGACCTGTGTACAAAAAAAAACTGAGACAGACATCGACATATTAAAATCACACATTTTACATGGTAAATGGACTGGTTCTTCTACTCTAACTTGAGTAGAAGAACACTTTATACAGCATGACTCATTCACCCATTTTCTATGCCTAAGTGCTTTCTGTCTCACATTCACACACATTGACACTTGAATGATTGCATTGGAAGCAACTCGGGGTTCGGTATGTTTCCCAAACATATTTGGTATGCAGTCTGGAGCAGCGAGGGATTGAACCACCAACCTTCCCATTAGTAGATGAGCTGCTTTACCCCTGATCGGTCATAAGAATGAAGATAAACATGTGCACGAGTAGCTGTGGACAAACAAATATAACCCTTCATAATGTTTCTGTGAAATAAAAGATTATAGCTTTCTTCTCCTTCATATTTCGAATTATGAAGGAGAAAAAAAAGAGCAATCTCTACAGGGTCACCTAGAGGTCGATGTAGCTTACAGGAATACACTCCTCTTTTTGACCACCTTATAAAAATCTGGAAATAAGTAGCTACTACCATATAAACTTTTTTTCAGTCTTCAAAATTATTTTTATTGGTGGACATCTTTAATTCATTTATGAGTATAAAATGTTAACAGTAAACTGCTTTAATCCAAGGAATCTAATTAATTTGTTAAGACTAACTAGCAGAAAGTCAAATCCCATTAGACATGACCAGTGTGTTCGGAATAGATGGGACAGACTCCAAAACAAAGAAATTCCCAAACAGCTGCAGTTCAGGGATGGTATTTCTCAAATTTACCTTTTTGGTTGGTCACAGCAGAGTGAAAGTGATGACATCCTACATCTGTGATAGAAGTGTATGGGATATACAAACTTCATTGGCATGATTTAAATCTGTGGATTGTTTACATTCCAGGAATTACCTCAGAGCACAAACTGGAATAAAAGTGTTAAATCAAATCTGGTTTAAAAGAAAAGGCAGTAAGTCTGTGTTTCTTTATCATAATAATAATTATAATAATAAGACAGTTGAGGTTTTTAATAAACTATTCTGAGTATATTTTTTTGTTCTGGGAATGCAGTAACAGTCTGAAATTAGCCCAAGGAATCTGCTGGACATGGCAGGACCTGTCTGGATGGCTTGACCCTCTCTAATCCAGAGCGGCCTAAGGAGAAATCCCACTGAAATTGACCAGCTGTCCTCATCTTCCCGCAGGAGACCCGCTGCAAAGTTTAAGCTGTCTGCTTTTGTCTTTTTGTCAGGCAGGATGAGTTGGATGTTTCTCTGAAGCCTAAGCTTAACTTGTTTTCTACCTTTGATTAAAGTCCAAAACTTGGCGCACGGATGATTTAATGAGGGGAAAGAGTACAGCACCAAGTGAAGAAAGATGATGCAATGATAGAAGAAGCTCAAGAGGAAGAAAAATGAAGACTTTGGAAAAAGGGAGGAATGAAGAACTTCTGGAATACAAGCTTGATAAAGTGAGTACCTGTGTGACATAAAAGGAAATGGTCTCATATAAAATCTTATGTATATATCAGCATATTTTTGAACAAATGTTTAATTAGGTATTAATTTATGTCAAATATTATCCAGTATAATGGATGTTGAATTACATAACACAAGAAGACATCTCAATACAGGAAAATAAGTAATTTTTCAAAAACTGTGCAACTATTATTTCATTCAAATGATATATTTTTTGTTTTCAAATCTTGTTCTCTTTGCCATGTAGTCTTTAGATTTCTAATGCAAAGAATCACATAAATGTAATTTCTTCCAAAATCCATTAAAAGTGATTCCATTCTTGCTAATATGAGTGCAAACAAATTAACATTATTATTAAAATTATTATTACTATTTTGCCCTAAAATAGGGCTCATTTCAGTTTAATTTAATTCGTCATCTGTTATGGAAAACCAAATCCTGAGCCTTAGTCATTTAGCCAGCATGCAGACAAGCGCTTCTTGCTGTTTTTATGGCCACACGTTCGAATTTCTCATAAATGCAAAGACAACAACATGCAGAGCAGTGTGGTTTCCTTAAAAAAATCTATTCAAATGAAATAAGCTGCATGTGATCTTTCTCACATGTCATGCAGTAAGACTTGTTGGGGTGGTGATCAGCAAATCTAGCTGCATTCTGCATTTTTGTTTTGTAGGCTAGAAGCTGACTATTAAGATTCAATTACCCTGGCTTAACTTGAGTGAACATCATTGACCCCAGGCTGTGATACCATCCACTCTCCTGATCGTTTTTGTTCTCTAAGAGAAATTCCACAGATAAGATAAGAACCCACTTAAGCTGAAGCAAAAATAAGAGAGACAGGGGGTGGAGGAGAGGTGAAACAGAGTGTTAGCCTGGTATAATTAGCTCTGTCTGTTAGGATCTACCTACCCCCCTAATCTATCACATATATATGTATCAAAATACAAATCCAATTCCCTTCACTGATCACTCGCTTGTCTTTTCCATGTATAAGATTTCAGACACCAGCAGGGAGAAAATGTTGTTGCATGGTCATAGCCGGGACATATGGACTCGGGAGAAGTGGGCCGGGAAGTCACCTGTGACCGCAGGTTGCAAAGGTACTGCAGTGAGTGTATGCATCGATTCGTATCCCAGGATGTCATGCCACCTGGTTGTCAAATCTCACTAGTTTTCCATATTAAACACATGCTATCCTGCACTGTTGTTTCACAATCCACCACCTGCATCATTACTGTACACCTAGTGATAATGGTCCTCTTTTAAAGTGCTGCAGAGTCTGAAGTAACTCAGAGTTTATCAGCCAGGAAAGCAGGCTATGTTTTACTTAGTTTTTACTGACTGATTCATTTCATCTTCACTTGCTTTTTACTTTAAAGTTTACTTGCTGGTTAGATTTCGGCACCAAATACAACTTGTTTTGGCTTAAGATAGGTTCACGGTTTGGACCAGTGATAATCATTCACTCATGCATGACTCCCTGCTCCATATTTGCTGAGTTCTATGAGTAATTTTCTCTGCATCATTAAATGCACCATTGCTGTTACATAGTCAGAAGGTGGCAAAAGAAAAAAGGTTAAATAATGACATAAATACTGACACACAGCATTGTATTAAACACAGAACATATTTTTTCCAAAATTAATACACAAAGTTAGTAGTGTCATGTGCTCCTTTCTTTCCTCTCATCTGTCTGCCATTTTTGATCCATGATACTATACAGTGGTTGGGGAGTGACCACTGGTTGTACACGGCATTTAACGAGGAATTGTGGGATACTTTGAATTCAGGTGTAGTGAAAGTGCTATAAAATGTCTATATAGTCAATACTTGCTATAAAGTGAGTAGTGAGTGATTTGCACACACTGTTTGCTGCTGGGTGCAACTCTTACATCACCCATAGTGGGGAGCTGTTTGACAGAAAAGCAACGCATGCACAAGAGTTAGAATTGACACACCAAAATAAACACCGAATGCAACCCCACATTATGTTATTCTGGTGATTAGTTATTGACTGATTAGGCATGCGCAAGCTGACATACACATGCACGCACGGACTGTAATCCTAAATTGTGGCGGGATCAGTGCAGTTCAGCTCAGAGGGATCATCGTCTCAGCAGAGTTTTTAAAAGCTTAACTCGATGGCCGGCAGAACGAGAGCATTTTGACATTTTTGCAGCCGTAATTTCCCCCTCTGTGGACTGAGATGTCATCATTTGCACTGGTCATGTGTGAATGTTGGTTTGCATGTGTGTGTGAAACTGTGCAGTTTGCATATAGTAAAAAATGAAGCTGTGTCAAATTCTTCTATTCCTTTTTTCTCCCCCTTCTTCATTGACTTTGTCCACATTTGGGATCATGCAAGTTTACCCGTAAATCTTCTTGAGTCACCGCTGCGAGCACGGACAGCTGTGCTCGTAAGATCATCTCGTCAAGAATACTTAATCTTGGCTTTGAGATTAAATCGGTCCGCCTCCATCTAGCTACCTCGGTGGGCTGTGTGCAGGATATTTTCATATGTTGGCTTTTCCACGGCAGTGCTTTGGTATCGACGGGTGGCGAGCGGGGAAGAGTAGGCTGTCATACTGATTTGAGAGAATGGTTTAGTTAAAAGTTTTGAAAACATAAATCGTAGATTAAGCTGAGAGTGCGGGCCCATTTGAGTAACTGGGGGTGCTTTTATTTTATAGACTTTAAACGAAATTATGACTGCTTGTGGTATTTCTTTTCACACTTTCTCACTTTTCCCCCTCTACTCCTGAAATACACAAATGTGGGTCGTTGATGTGTTTCCAAATCTGCAGCTTGTTGTCTCTTAGTAGGTTGTGATGGCACACAATGTGTTCTCAGCTTTTATTACTTTAGCTGAGTGATTTGTTTTAACTAAGAGTCCACGGTCTGCAACCTTTGGAG